TATATATATATATATACACATACACTCTAAAAAGTATAAGTGTTAAATGTAATTCTCATTGTATTAGCATAGATATAAATACTGACATAATATAGATATAATATATATATAACACTATGACTTTTAAATCATGGATGATTTAATTTACATGATTTATATTAACACGAAAGAATTAAATACCGTATAATATTAAATCCATTATTATATTCATATTTTTTATTCATATTTTTTTAGAGTGAAAGATTTTTAAGTGAATTGTGTGTTATTCGCTTTAACCTCATTTTATCGGACTGACGAAAAGAACAGAGTGATGAGTGAAAATAGTAATAAAATCTCGAAACTTTACGCTTCTGTTAACTCCCAACCGTCAATCGTCGAGGATCCACAGAGGGTTGTTGTAGTTGTATATATTTTTGCATAACTCGCGAGAAACGAAACTCACGCCTTGGAATCACAGTCGGGCAATTTAAAAATAGATCCATTCGAAGGCGAAATTTGTTTCCTGTCGTCGCGCGCGACTCGCTCGGCCTTAATTGCACTTTCATCGATCGCGAATCGCGCGCTGTTAATTACAAATCGCCGCCAGCTTTCCAATCCGTCGGATTCGTTTAGTGTGAGCCATTTCGCCTAAACGACCATTACTCGTTCCCATGTTGCAGTTTCGAAAGAACTTCGAACTAGAGCAGTCAATTCAAATTTGTGAAATAATTTGTAATTACTTGGATCAATCATTAAATGTACATTTAATAATTCCTCATATATTTTTTTAGTCTGCATATCGAATTAGAAAAAGATGAGTGGGAGTAATTTTATGTTACACAATCTTATTTTTTAGAATTTTGTTCTATTCGTATGGGTTAATAACCATACTTTATGTTAATTTCTGAAAGACTGATAAGAAAAAGCTTTACTGAGTTCCAAGGACCCATCCTTTAGCATAGCATACACATAAATATATGTGTTCCTGTCACGAGTTAATAACATAAGCATTCATAATAATAACTTGAAAATCACGTTTTTTGAGTGGTATCATTTTTTAAGGAAGCAATATTTCTTCTGTACTTTTTCTTTCCGTGAAATCGCAAATTTTAATACACTATTAAATTTTTTACAATTTTATAAGGCACACATTTTTCATAGAAGCAAATACATCACATCAATAGAATAAACGAGAATATTGCAAAGCAATTTTTAAGTTACGAAGCGCAATGGCAATTAGAGACTAATTCAATTAATTAGAAACTTTTGTACTCACCCTGCCGCTACTGTCGACTACGTTGACGTCCATGCCTTTCAGACCTACTTTCCGAGCCTGTGTGACGATTTCCTTGAGACCAGTATCGTCAGCCTCTCTGGCGGCCCTCAAAAGGGCCGTAGGGCCCCCAGAGGGTATTTCCCACGAGGGCGGCACTTTTGGTTTGATCGTCTCTTTGCGTACGTGATCTGCAAGATTTACACTCGCCTTAATACTTTTCTGTTACTTTTTTATTATTTCTAATTACTAATTATGAACAAATTCTATTAGATTAATTGCGCAATTATAATTGTCTAATATATCAGAATTTATTATTGGATACTGTGTAAGTTCATATGATAGACTACGCTTGTTGAAATTAGTAAACTTTTCAAATTTTACGGTCATAAATTACAAGTTTTAAAGCTTGTGATATTTTTAAAACGAACTCTTTTGACATTAATCTTTAATACATATGATGGGTCTTATGTATCGTGCATTTCTTTTCTTTGAAATATTAGGAGCATCTGGCTAAGCAATAATCTCTGTCCTTTTGCTAAAAAAAGTTTAATATCTAAAGGACGTTTTTGATGTATTGCCGACTTATGCATTCATATCACGAATGACTCATCGTGTGTAAAGTGAGTACTTTTCTATAGCAAATTATTTTTTTTATTTTTACCTAATTCTTTTATATTGCAAGAATTTCATAAATTTATTAAAAAGAAACATTGAAATTTAAATGACAATTTTTTATCTAAAATGTCGAGCATTTCTATTATATTTGCGTCAAATATTATTAATAATGTTAAAAAAACATTATAAACATAATATTTTTTTAATTTGTTGTAAGTTTTTTAATGAAACATCGATAATAAAATGCATTGTTTAAAATGTAAGTGCAATATTATTAAATCAAAGTTTTAAATTTTTATATTAAAAAATACATTTTTTAAATTTTATCTGTAATCACTTATAAAATTTAGATGCAATTTTTGTTTAATACATAACTTTATAAATACTTTTGATATTTAAAGTATATTTAAAATATATTTTATGTAGTACGAATTATCTAATAATTTTTGTACACTTATAAAAGTAATGACAAGTTGAAAATTAACAATTAACGGAACAATCATATGTAGTAAAAGACTAGAAAATTATTGTGTACTAAGGATTAAATTATTCGAACATCAATTTCATGAAATAAAAAATAATTTGCTTTTTGATAAATTTGTGTCCACAATTTATTAAATCTCAATATTTGTTGAAAATTTTGTATTGATTCGAGATGTATCTTCAGATTTCAGTATGAAACAAACAGTTTTTGAGATGTAAACGTTCTTCTTATCAGTTAGAACATTTTATCAGTAATGTCACGTTGGAATCAATTTGTCGGCGTTAATACCTAAATGACGTACATGTCTATGCGAAAAATTTATGTACATATCATTATAGCAAATAATCTCTTGCATAAAAGCAACAATCCAAATATTTCGTATCACATTGGTATATAAAATATTATTGGATTTCAGATTGTAATTTTTTTTTTATTTAAAAAATAGCAAAAGGCTATAAATTTTTATTTAACCTTCCCTCGATAACATTGAATTTTAAAGGCAGTCGATTTTTTATTGTAAATTCTGATGAACAAAAAAATCTGTAAATATATAAATAAAATGCAATCCAATTTTTATGATAATAAAACTTCATTGTTAAAGTTTTCACAAGTATGTAAGAATTTTTTCAGATTTTTAGTTCGAAATAATATAAAAAGCTGCATTACGAAGTTCAAAGACCCGGTTATAAACAAAGAGTGAAAATTTCACATTGCTGTTAAAAGATTAGTTATATTTATTAAAACAATATTTTACTTACAATTAGTAAAAACTAAGTAATATGATATTGTAGTAAAATTTGTGAAATTGTTATAGAGCAAATGTCATAAGACACACAGAACTCACCTTGAAGCACACCTTTGCGATATACTTTGGCTTCGTGAACAGCAGACTTCCGGTATGGCGCGCGTTTCTCCTCGAAGCTGGTGTCGGAGCTAAAGGAAACCGATTTCTTTACTCCGACACCCTTCTTCTTGAAGCTCGTAGATAACGTCTGGACACTAGATGACGGTCGCAGAGCACACAGTTCTGCGTCGTCGTCGTTAGTCAGAACCGAGAAGTATCCCTTCAGATCGGTATATCTCGAGGATAAAGAGCCGCGAAGCTCGTAACTATCCGACGATCTGAGGAACTTGGTCAACTCGTCGTCCGGCGAATTCCTCTCGGCGAGTTTGCTGGAGGGATGATGCGATAGACTCGCTAAGAAGGCGGAAGATCTCTTCAGAATTCCCTCCTCCGGTACCCGTTGCAACGTTCTTTCTCTTACTGGAAGACCTGCGGAGTCACGGCTCTATATTTGGCCGGTGTTACTTCCCAAGACGACTTCTCGCGCCGCGGCGTCCTCAACAGTCTGCAGTCGCAGGCTTAAATAGATGTATTTAGCGGCGCGCGAATGCTCGTAAATTGCCATAAAATATTTCGCGCAAGTAAACATATCGTGGAATAGATCGCGTGAGCACATAGAATTTTGCGCGGCATTATTAGGATCGATGTGAACCGAAAGTGAACATTTATTTTGTTTCGTTCTAGTCTGAGCTGACAAGTCGCAACACGTGCATAACGAACGAGTTTTAGAAAATTAAAGTGTATAAATAGGAAGATGTCCTCTTTTACTTTGAAACAATTATTGGATTTCGGTAAGAGATTAGCCAAGCAGAAGAATAAGTCACGTTAACGTCAAAGTTAAAATAAATCGAAAATAATTGAAAAAATGATTTTTAATGATTATTTTGAAGTCATTTTGACATTATTTTGCTAGCATAATGATTTGTTCTGCTAGAGTATAATTAATTTGATTTGTCTTTTATCGAATAGAACGTTTTCATTAATTTTTAATCAGTTTGTTTCCGTTTAGGTTCGTGCTCGAAAACGAGTTGACCGCGTTGAGACTGTTATGAAAAGGTTCTGTGTAACTCGTAGTTTCATTTGCAATTCTAATCAGAAACTACGAGATATGATTTTCGTTAGATATTGTTGTTTCGCCAGTGGTAGCCCATGGGACGAAAGAGGTGAAAATATAAATTATCACAATATGCACGTCAGCATCGTCATTTTCAATGGCCAAGTAGTCATTAGAGGGATACAGATAGTACAGGAAATTAACTTTTCTCGAAAATAATTTCGTTGCCTGGCTTTTGGCGTACACTTAGAATAGCTGATGACGATAATCTCTCCTTCCAAATCGAATAAAAGGAACGTTAACTACGCTTAAGTATCCAGAAAAACGTAAATGATCCGAGCCAAACAAACTTGCCAAATATTAAATAAATTAAGATTAATAGCATCCAATCGACAATTTAATTTGGGAGGAGATTATTATTATTTTAGTTTGATTGTATTGTAAGTAATCGACGCGCATATAAGGACTGTGATGAAAAAACCTTTCCACACAAAAACTCACATATCCTCCAAACTACTTTAAAAAAAAAAACAATTTTTTAATTTAGTAGGCTTTGCAATGAATGTAAGAAACGATTGAAACAGTTAGTTTCGTAATCGCTTTGTTCTCAGTTGCAAAATGACAAGTGAAGTAGAAACACGCAAATCCATAATCAAAATTTTTCAAGAACACCCGGAATGGAGTTTCATTAAATCGCGCGGGAGGTGGGAGTTTGCAGGAAAACGGTGTCAATAGTCATTAGGCATTTCAAGGAAGATTTGACTGTTAACCGTAAAGAAGGATCTGGAAGGAAAAAGGGTTTTCAGAGTCCAAAAACAGCGAAGAAAGAGGGCATCCGAAGAAGTGACCGAGACCACCATAAAAAGTATGATGGAGGGGATTCCAGAAAAAATTAAAAATTTTTGTCAAAAGTAGTTTTTAAGAATTTTTTTAAATATAGTTTTAATTGTAATTAAAAGACGTTTCTAAAATTTTGTTTGCTTTTAAAAATCGGTCAAGTGGTTTGGAGGATATGTGAGTTTTTGCGTGGGAAGATTTTTTTCTTGGACAGTCCTTATATGAGATAAATTTGTTTAAAATACATACAATGAATGTCAAAAATATTCGTGCAGAGAAATTTTTTTATAAAAAAGCCTTGTTTGTAAAAAGTAAACATTAATGAGCAATTTTATACAATGAATATGTTCTGTTCTACTAAAACAAATGATGAGCTTCGCATGTGTGATTTTAGAAGCTAAATTTCTCGACTGTGCAACTACTTATTGTTTTTAATTTAACTACTTATTGTTTAACTACTTATTGTTTTTAATTTTCTCTTATTTTTAAGATAATATATTTCATTTAGTTATTACACGTCTCTTTGGTATAATAATTTTGAAAAATATACAGTCTATTTTATTCTTTATATTAAATTGCTGATTACCCAATAAAGACAATGAAGACATTTAGAAATATTCATCAATTAAGCGTCAAATTGAATTGATATCAAAATCTTCGATATTTATTGAATATCAATTTGATAAGTCATTTCCTGCTAAATAATGTTTTTAAATAAAGCTTTTGTAAAAAATATTTCTCTGTACAAATACTTTTTGCACTCATTGTATATAGATGTATTATTCCAATGTCTAACTTTAATTGTATGTAATCGGCGCTTTTCTTAGTCGATGTATTCATATCTATAATCAGTTCTAAGCTTAATACAAAGAATTTGATATTGTCATAAAAAAAATCGCACCACAATATTGGTATTTGTTAAAAGTCTTGAACAAGTATCGACACTCATTAATTGGAATTTCTCTTGTAAAATAGTTATATTTCGATTAAAAAATGAATATAAAACAGATTAATAAATAATAATAAACGACGATAATTTTCATTGCAAGTATATCAGTATTTATTAAATAACTTGAATTTTTCTTTTAAAAAAAATTAGCAATTACATTTCGATAAAAATATAAAACAGATTACTAAATAAATGATGTATAATTTTCATTGATAAGTTTAGAAATTATGCAACGCACCTTCCTTCAAATCCTTAGGCACCGAAGTGGATTTGATTATACCTCGCTGGATGCTCCTTGAGACGCCTGATCTCGTTGAGTTTTTGGACACGTCCTTCGGCTTCCTCGATTCCTCTTCTGTGATGAGAATGCCACTCCGAGCGGATTCTTCCTTGGAGTGGAGTCTCCCGTTTACGATTGACGATGTTCGTCTCTTGGTGGTGACGCTGGTCGTCGTCGTTTCATTCGTGGCACGGTTATTTCGAGCAAGTTCGCCCCTAGAGGCGACGATGCTGTAGTTGTTAACCACGCAATAAGCAGTACTCGATGTACATTTCGCGCGTCTGCGTGGGCCGCTTTCTTGCCACCTGGCCTGCTCCTCGAAAATCCGTCGGACTTTCTGCCGAACGTACGAAATTAGTCTCGAGGGAGAACCAAAATTCGCATATTGATCGGTGCTCTAGTTCAAATTGTACTCTATCGTCGATTATCCGTAAATTCAATAATTTGTCCAATCATTTTCATTTTTATTTATCATCGTCTGAGATTCCAAAGCTTTATTTAAGAATAAAATTATATATTTCTGAATTTTTAAGTCTAAGTTTAAAAAAAATATATCAAAAATATATCTGTAGTTTTATAGAATCTTAACTTTCATAACAGTAAATTTCGATTAAAAAATGTTATTTTAATTAAAAACTAGTGACGCAC